TCCTATATACTGATGGAGCCTTAAAAATATGGCCTCAAGGTTGAGCCTAACTTTACACAGCCCGTACGATGAGCTTCATTACCATTAAATCACCATAGATTTTACGCCATTAACAATCAAGTAAAGTACAAAGCACTGATCGTTGGACCGCACCTCGCCCACCATGTCGGGCCATGCGACCTCCATGTAAAACCTGATTCACAACTTATTTTAAATCAAATGGAGAGTTTGAACCTCGATATTAAGCCATGACAAAGTACCTCGCTAAGGCAAAATTCAAGATTGGGCAGTTCACCAGCTTTTGAATTAGCTACGTCGGATAAGAAGAAAACATGTTAGCTGGCCTGTTATCTAAATGCTCCCAACTTGGAGGCAATACATCTCAACGGTTGAGCCAGGTGACAATCTAAGAGCCACATGTGATGGAGGTCTCCACTCAAAACCAAACACTTGGATGGATTTCTACATCCACTGCCTGGAAATTGAGAAATTAATGGACAAGGTTATTGATCCAAAGTGCTTCAAAATCAAGGCGGCCCAGTACCTGATGGTGGAGGGAATGCTCTTCAATAGATTTGTTACCTCTCCATACCAGAGGTGCTTGGGAGAAGCTGAAGCTGAAGATGTCCTCCACGAGATGCACTCAGGCGAATGTATAAGCCACTAAGGAGGGAGAATCCTAGCTCACCGAGTGCAGAGCCAATGATACTTTTGGCTTACGCTTCTTAAAGATGTCAAAGAATTCACAAGAGGTGTGAATAATGTCAGAAGTATGCACCGCTATAACATCAGCCAGCCTGACAGCTGCAACCTATAATGAGTCTCTGGTCCTTCGCTATTTAGGGGTTAGACATTCTCAGACTTTTTCTCCCTTAGTAGGACAACAAAAATTACTTATAGTCACCATTGATTACTTCTCAAAATGGATAGAAGAAAAGACACTTGCCTGGATCATCATTACCATGGTGTGGAATTTCATTTGGATTGAGCTCATATATCGCCATATTCTCCCTATAACCCGCATAATTGATAACGATAACCAATTTATTGATCATGGCATTAAGAAATTTTGCAAAATCTAAGGGATAAGCCTAAAATTTGCATCTATACATCACCTCCGTACCAATGGTCATGCTGCAGTAGCCAACAAGATCATCCTTAACCTTATAAGGAAAGAAGTAGAGGGAGCAAAAGGAAAGTGGACGAACCTTTTACCATTAGTACTATGAGTCATCAACATTACGCCCTTAATAGCAATAGGTCACACTCCATTCCCGCTATCTCACGACATGGAAGCGGTGTTACCCTTAGAATATGACCATCATAGCTAAAGGATCGTCACTGCCTCCATATATGGCGAAGAAAACCTGGTGAGATAACAACGAGCCAAAAACAAAAGAATCAAGCTTGCACTTGATCTTGCCAAGGAAGCCCAAACAACATCAACCCTTTGACAAAATGAAATTAAAAGGAAAAACTACACAATATTTCAACATACATGTAAGAGAGAAGAACTTTGAGGTAGGGAATCTCGTTCTCAAGAAAGCTGATCTAGTGGCTCGCGGGGTAAGTGGTTGGCAAGCTCGACCAAACCCGGACTAGGTCATTCATCGTCGCCCAAAGAGTGGCCCTGAGAGCATATCAACTAAAGACTTATATTGGAGACAATGTGCCCAAGACGTGGAGCGGGGACGATCTGAAGCCTTTCCCTAACTGAAAACTACTTGCACCAACTTAAAATCAATATAACGAAGCATATTACATGCTTCCTTCTCTTTTTACATGTTGTATATGATGACATTTGCGTCGCGGATAGCCAGTTAGCTAGAGAACTTGGTTTGATTAATAATATGATAGCGATCAACATACAAAATTCAAATCACATATTTTTGAGTGGACTATTTTGTGCAATCATTTTCAGTACCCAACTGAATGCACAATGGTTAACCGAAAGGTGCGTGACAAAATACCATTATGCGACAGACGATGCAACGAAAAGTGAGTGAAATAAACACAACATAATAAAAACAGATATTTTATCTTGACAAAAAAATACAAAACATTTGAATAACATCTAAACAAAGTGTACATCCTCTATAATTTTTTTAATAAGAAAACCTCCGAAGGAACCAATGGCTCTGTGTTGAAGTTGGCCATCGATTCCTCCTCCTCACTCTCATTAAAGAGCACTCATTCTCCTTGCTCCCCATCTTCTTGAATCCGCTTTACGAGGAAGAGTTAAAGTTGAGGAAGTAACAGAGAGTATTGCTGCCCAATGACCTCAGACATGAGTGACCATTGAGTAACAACGAACGAGTGGATATGGTGCGCAGTAGTAGTGTATTGTTAGTGCTTCCAATGGGCTACCCATCTACTTGCAGAGGATTCCTAGTTAGTGCACTACCAAATCACCCTCGGTATTGTTAATACCCTTCCTCACAACGTTTGGAAGCGAGGAAGAGTAAGGATATTCTGACTAGGACAATTGTAAACTCAATCCCTTCACCACAAGCGGGAAGGGGCTGAAACTCTCTTGGCGGCCACAACTGAACAGACGTATTGCAATCCCTGGAATGTGAAGGCCGTGCAACACTCACTTATGGAGGCACTACGCCTGTTGCGCTCGATGTAACTTCTGTAGCATGTCCAATCAGGTGTTAAATTATAGCACGTCTAGTCAGGTGTCACATTTAACACCTGACTCGAAGTAAATCCTCTACTTCAACACTCGACTCAATAAAAGAAAAATTAACACACAACCCAAGCCAGACCCATCATTCCTGCCCTTAGGAAGTTGCCTCTGCCTTTGGCTCAACGCGGTTGACAAAATCCTCACATTCTACACAAATCTGCTAACCTACTCGAAGAGGTGCATGGTGACTGGAGACCCATGCCCCCCTTTTTTGTAGAAGGGTCAACAGACCCGATGGTAGTCTGCCGACAAAGTCTACAAATGCACTCACTCTGACAAGACAATTCAGTGGCTAAGGCTGACATATCATAAAGTGAATTGAGAAATTGTGCCACACAAAAGTCTTGAGATCCAAAGTTTGAAATTTCATTTGATGTGACACTCCTTAGTCGAGCAATTCGAATGAAGCCAAAGCAACCTTCGACTGACAACTTTGACCTAAAGACTCCTCTATGGGGCGAGTAATCGAAAAACTCTAATCAAGGGCAATCAACCTAAAGACTCATTTACAGAGAGAGCAACTTAAAGTTTCCTCTACGAGGCGAGCAACCGAGCAAGCAACCGAATGACTCTTTATGGGACAAGCATTCTAAAACTCCTCACCGAAGCAAGAAATCAAAAGATTCCCTTCCATGATGGGCAACCTAAAGAGTCTGATAGGTAACGAAAACGCAACAAAAATAAAAGCAGAGAGTGCTCAAAATTTGTAACCACAACAAGAAAAGGTAAGACCACATAACATAAATGATTGTAGATGTGAGAACCGAGAAAGGTATATCTTCCCATTTAATTCAGTGCAAGTGCCCTGAATTGTAAAAATGAAAAATAAACCAAAAGTTAGTCCCTTGCTACAAAAGTATCACGAATGAGTAGTTAAGAAACCTCTATTGCGAAAATCTCAGGGATGAGAAGTTGAAGAGCCACCCTCCTCCGCTGCCCAACGTGATCTCTGACAGACTTCTTATTTATGGGAGTCGGGATTGATAGCAGCTTGGCGAACTCACCATGATTTGCGATATGAGGTCACTGTGTTTGGTCGACGGATAGACTTCCTAGTGGATCAAATGAGTTATATAGAATAACAATTGGATGAACTTATTGAGTTGCACACCAAAACTATTTTGAGTGGATGGATGGAGAAGAGCAAGAGAGATCATGATAGCTGATGTGTGCTAGAAAATTCACTACAGTAGAGTAATAGATTATTGTATTAGTGTTGCACGAGAATTTAACATGCACTCATGTAAAATAAAACAACAAGTAATAACACCACAAGTTCTTACGTGAAAAACCCGTAAAGGGAAAAAACCACGATGCCTGACCCATATGTAAACATTCACTATAGGTTGATGATTGCAGAGACCCCTTCCCACTAACGGGAAATGATTACTAGGTTTTCCAAGTTACAACATCGATAGATAACTTCTGGTCGGTGGTGGTCGACAGTGATTGGTGGTGAGCGACGGCGATCAGTGGTTGAAGACAATTGGTGGTGCTTGATGATGACAATAATGCTTGACAACGATCAAAGGTTGTCGACGGTGATCAACAGTGGTCGACGACAGTTGAAGGTGATGAATGGTGGTCGGCGGGTGCTGAGGATAGTTGACGGCGGTCGACGACGGTCAACGGTGGTAGATGACAACCGATAGTTTCATGGGTGTTGCTGGACTTCAGTTCATTCTCAAAATCTTAAGTTATCTCTCAAGCCTCCAACCCCTTCTCATGAGAGGGGTGAGACTCAATTTATAATGTTTTGGATGCAATAAATGCAAGAATATGAAACACTTTGATCAGACGGTCCGAAGGACTTTCTTTTGATCATATGATGTTTGATGGATATTTGAGTGCCTGAACGATGTCAGAATTGAGCAATCTTGGGCTCGTTAGATTTGTCTTATCAAGACGTTCGATTCGATCATAAACTTGCTATATTCAACATTCGTTTAACCTTCTAAATATGTCTAAAAAATTTTCAAGAATAATTTAATGATATGATCAGAGTTTGATTTGACTCGTATTTGACCAATTAGTAACATTGGGTTCACCTTGTAGAACCGATTCAATTTGACTGTAAATATGCGAAAATCAGAGTTTCGAATGAGTTTTTATTGATATTTGAATATTTCTTGCTCAACAAGTGGTCTTGAAATCCGTATATATGAGAATTTGTTGATCACATATAAAAATAATAAAATAAATTTCAATTAAGAGTAAAAACAACATTTGGATAGCTGTAAAAAATTAAGAATCGAATAAACCTTATTTTATTCCAACAATTTATTCCATATTTCGGTTTCATCTGCAAGTACCCACACTCTTAAACTTTGGATTGGACCGGCTGGATTCAACGGACCCGCCATTCGCACGACTCTGCGATTCCTTCTCTGCGACGGAGCCAGGAGGGTGACGAGGGATTCAACTAGACCAATAATTTTCTTTCATTTGCTCTCTTCTTGGAGCTCTGCATCGAGGTGAAGAGGGCCAGATTTACGGAGCAGGAGACCATGGAGGATCTAGGAATAGAAGCTAAGGATGCAGCCGTTCGTGAGGTCGCGAAGTTGCTTCCGCTTCCGGAGTTGCTCTCTTCCATAGCCTCCATCAGAGTTGACTACAGCTCTAGACAACAGGTTAGGTCTCCTTTTATATAAGCCCCATGATTACGTAAGAGATTATTACTTCAATTTAGGTTTGTTTGGGTTGAAGGAAAATGAGGGAAGTGAAATGAAAATTCAAATGATCTGTGGATTGATTAAGATTTAAGATTCGGCATCCATTTTGCTTTTCGTTCCACTCAAATTGTCAGCATTTAAGGAAATCCTTACAGAATTGATTTATGCTCTTACTTTTTGGCCAAATAAAGCACAATTCCCTTACGTTTGAATTGGTGAACTGTAGTACCTTCAGCTCAGGTTTCTGTTTGGAATTGTATGAGAAGAGATGCTACCGGTGATAAGGGGAGTGAGATCAATATAATTTACTGGGTAGGAATCTCAGCAGTATGGAAGCATTTGAGTTCCGTTGAAATCACCGATGCATTTCCATCGGAATCCATTTAGAGTAATATTGTTTAACACATAGTTGTGTCTACCCATTTGAACCTAGTTCCATGGAAGTAATGTGATTTGCTGGAAGAAAATGGATGATGCTTTTTGAGGTAGAAATAAGGTTAGAGATTTGAGAAGCTATAAGTTTATGAGCTTCATTCCATTCCTGCTATTTGGCTGCATGCCATATCCCATGCTCAGAGGCATTCCTCTTCACTTTTCAAGCTATTAGAACTGCATAAGTTCTTATGCTACCATGTTTTTTTAGTGAGAATAAGCTTAGATAAGTGCTCGAAAATTTTGTATTCTTTCATTTTTATATAATGTTTTTTCTTTTTACAAAGATAAAATAGAAGGTATTGGACATGTTTTCGGCTTTCCGAACTTTTAATAAAGATATGTCAATCAAGAAATAGTGTTTTTTTTTTTGCTCTTTGTTGGCTTGATCTGCTTAATGAAATTATGGCCCTAGAGAACAGTTTAGCTTTTTAATTGAACAAACTGCTTATTTGAATGTCTTCACCGATAAATTATAGTGCTTGTCAAGTATTATATTTTCCATTTTTTTATCAATTGAGCATCTCCTTTTCTTTTCTTTATACTTGTATCATCATGGCACATTTGGGTAAAGTTCAATCTTATATTAGTAGTTCTTCTAGATTCTATGCATGAATATTCCTATTCTTAGACATGTAAGTTAAAAATTCTTATTAGAGCTAGAGTTTATAGAGGTAGTTTTTTGTGTGCTAGGTAAACCTGTAGTTTTCCCTACTCCTGATTTATGTTCTAACACAAATGTAAGGATGGTGTTTCCATGGTAAATACATACTTTTCAATAGGGCAAACTGACATTTAAACATTAGTCTTGTTGCGTGCCGGAAAATTTGTGACAGTAGAGTGATAATTTAATGTCTTAGTATTATATGAAAATTTAGCACACACAGATAAAAAATAGTGGTAGGAGGGTATTCCAAGATTTTTTAGTTTGTAACCATTCTTATCCTAAATTAGTGAAGACATAATTGTAAAGCTGATAATCACAAATCTACAATAGTATTTTAGTTATAATAGCTATAATCGGGCCACAACAAATGTATTTCTTGGTTATAATAACAATAGTTGACCACAAAATCTTAAGTGATGGTTATAATAGTATTAATTGACCACAGAGGTCGCAGTCAAAGACTGTAATAGCAGTAGCTAGCCACATAAGCTGTAGTTGGAAATTGCAACTATAGTAGATGGCCACAAAGGCCGTAATTGGTAACTACAAAGGCAGTAGTTAGCCATAAAAACTGTAGTTAGTGACCGCAATAGTGACAATTAATCAAAAAAGTTGTAGTTGAAAACTGTAGTTGACCACAAAGGTCATAGTTTGGCTATAACAGTGGCAAACAATGGTTGACGGTGGCAAGTGATGACGATGAACGACAGACAACTGTCGACGGTCGACAGTGGCAAGCTGCTACGGAGGTCGATGATTACTTGTTGGGTCTTCTCCATAACATACTATAGAATTTCATTTATTTTTCTTTTCTCCCCCATCACTCCCAAGTGAATAGAGATGGCCTATTTATAGCCTTTTGGGTTGGCGGGTATTTTGCTCTTTTGGCGCATAACTTCACGTATGATTGGACGACACATCCTGATCCCCCTCAATCATGATTGACTTTTTAAGGATTTGAGTGCCTTATTAACCTGAGAATTGAGTGATCGTTAGATTACTCTCGTTAAGATGTTTGATTCGACTTTGATATAAGTTGGCTCATTAGATTACTCTAGTTGAGTCGTTTGATTCAACTATGAGTATTCAAATTTGGACTTTTTTTGGCCCTTCAATTCATGTTTCAATGCCTCCGATTAGGCTTCAATTGCTTGATGTAGGCTTGATTAGACCCGAATTGACCTAATTTTAGAGTCGTTGAGTTCGTCTTGTCGAGATGGTCAATTTGACTATAAACTTGTTGAAATCAGGGCTCGAATGATAATTTGAAATTAAAGCGTTTCAAAAATGCGTCGCGGTTCATGCTAGATTGTAATAATTTATCGATGACAAATCAACACTGAAATTTCAGAATTTAGTGTTAGGTCTCTAACAGAACTTCTTTGAACACATGAAAGAAAGAAAGATTTCCAAATCAAGAGGTTAACTAAATTTTAATTTTAGCAATGATATTCATTTCCTTTTATCAAGAGAGAAGGGAACCAAATGTATTATCCTTCCACTTTCTTGAAGATTCCCACAAAAAGATGAATCCGTTAGTTACGTAATTACATATGTGCTGGCTACAAATGTGCGCTCACTTATGTTATTTTTTCATCTGGATGAGAACATTTTTAAAATCCCAAGTTCTCATATTTTAGAAGGTACACTGGCACACACATATGGCCAGTATGTGAACTCGTGCAAAGATTCAGTGGCAAGGATAAAGATAACAAAAGTTTTGGTGACAGTTAATGCAGACTCAATAGATGTTTTTGAAGCTTGTTTGCTTAAATTGATTCCTAAATCCACAAAAAATAACCAATTATCTTGCAGTTTCTATAAAATCCAAGAGAAGCATTGCATTAATGTTTGGAAGTTAAAGGGCATAAGGAAAACAATCGAAAAACTATACAAAGTACTTAATTTGTTTCCTAACAAGCCTACATCCACTCTAGAACTCCTTTTTGTATAATCTATGGTTGACATTAGTTGCTTAAACCGGTGATTACAAACTTGTATTTGTCAACAAGATTCTAGGAGCAAACCAAAGACATTGACCTGCTCTTTTTGGTTCAAAATCTAATTAAAATGAGTCTGAAATAGACACGAGGGAATTGAAATTGGAATTAGGAAAGTTTCCTGATTACATAATATTATGCAAAATGAACAATAATATGATGAATGATAAGTCCCGAAGAAATTGTGCTTGACCGCGTAAACAGAGAGAGTATAACAAATGGTACAATCTTTACTGAAATGTACATCATTAATATTCATCTTTTTTTTACTATGATAGGGCGGGCGTAGGACGAAGATTTTCGTTGCCACCAATTTATCCCGCACGTTATAGATGTGAATCATAAAAATATCCTCTTTGCAATATGCATGAGGCTGTGCAGATCAACCTCTATCTGAACTGTACATTAGCTGGTGCCACATGCATGCTTGTAAATTTGATACTTCATTCAATTCCTTTCAGCGCTTTTTGGAATGCTAACTTTTATTTATGTAAGCCCTTTGTGCATTGGTGTTGTCTTCTACCCCATTTGTTAATTCATCTATTTCCCTCATTTATATTATCTTCTTTTATCGTTGTATATATTAAACTTCATTTTGTACTCATTTTATTGTAGAGATGATTGTCGATAAGCTTTTTAATATAATTATTGCTCAGTCCACAGTTCCTAGATATACCTGAATTCATTCTAAATTATCTTTTTTGCCTATCTTAACTTTGATTGTTGGTGAGTTTTTTTTTTTTTTTTTTTGCTCAGCACTTGATCTCTATGCTATAGCTTGCCTATTACATTCCTCTAAAATTTGAAGTTTATAGTTTGTGATATCATCTTATCATATGGTGAAATTGACATACATTTTGCTGTACTATTATTTGTAACACTTAAATGTTATTAATTCTATATGTTCCGTTTTACTTTTTATAACAGATCCAAGGTACATAAACTTTTTATGCAATTATTGATTATTCAGGATATTTGAATAAAAATAATTGATCCATTTTTGCTTGAAGTGCGAATCATGTCGTAATCTTTATTTTAGTGAGCTTAAACCTCTTATCTTCGAGATCATATTCTAGCATTTTATTACTTCTTAAAAAATACATCTATAACACTTTTTTGAATTAGCAAATTGCATAAAATAATGTTTTATAATTTGAATAGCTATTTTGAGTGCATATTTAATGAATACAAAGAACATATAGACATGGTGGAGACCCTTGATTGCAAACACTTGTTGATTGAAAACCTTGAGTTAAATTTAAAACTAATTATAATTTTTATTTTTGAGGTTGGGAAAATAATTTCTTGTATATATTACTAAAAAGGAAAGAGATAAAGCACAATAATGGATACTTAAGGGAGAATAATTTCTTTCCTCAAATGTAACAACGGACCCACTGTTTCCTAAACCGTGTGCATATTAACACAAACATTTTGAAAAACTCGAGAGGTCAAGGTATACATGGGTTTCTAAGAAAAAATTGAGAGAAATGGGTGTAGCTAGATTCAAACTAGTGGAAGGGTACATTTTAATTAAGTACTAGGATGTTAGAATTGTCTCCTCATGGATTGTTCATGTGAAACATTAAAGTTCAACATCAAGGAGTTGTTGGTGTTTCATTCAGCCATATCATTTTGTTTGGAGTTTTATGATCATGATGGTTGATGTAAAAGAGAAGGAATAAAGAGTTCATATCATTTATTCTAAGACAACGGGAATAGAGAATTTTAAGTGAAGTATACAACTGAACCTTTATTTGGATAAATTTTTTTGAAAGCATTTAGGACTTAAAACTGGCATTTTAATAAATATATCCTGGTAACAGTAGTGCAGTTGTCCATATACTACGTAAAGTAAT